TTCAACTGCTGGATATCCCTCACTCAGTGAAATACCAGCCGAATTAAATGGCGGGATTTTTTGAATTTCGTGTTCCCGTCCTGTGTTCGATTTTAATAATGGTCTGTACTGTCCAAGCATGTCGGGCAAAATGCACCACAATACCTCCGACTTTGTATCTCGCCTTTTGTCGCCATTGCTCAATCTGGTGACGCGACAACACTACGATGCGGTGCCCCAGTCGAAATTTGATGGAAGGGATAAATATCAGAATTACTGATAACTGTTATCGAAAATTTAGCGGATCCCGAGGAATGCCTCAAATTTTTTAAAAAATTCGGATTTTGTGTAAAACTTACAGTTGATATAACCGGCTTTCCAGAAAGCTTTCCAAAGCCGTACGGCATATGCGACCGATAAACGTGACCGACGTGTGAACAAGGCACAAACAGTATTCCACCTCCGCACTGCCAAATCTGCAATCCTTCGCACTTATCTCAGACACAAATAATTGGCCAACGCACGGGCTGCCCGTGCTAAGATGCGTTTTTTGCATAGTTCCGCGCAAATTTTTGTCACTAACGGCACTGTTTTTTTCGGCAGATGATTCTAGTAAAAGAATTTCAGACTGGCCGCCAGGACTGTCAGGAAACATCCCTTCAAAATTCCAGTCTTCTTGCTTCGCAGATTCCCGAGCTAGTAACTTACACGAAAAAACCTTTCACCGGCCCATACGTGGGAATGACTCATACCCGACAGCTAGCTTTGAGATCATTAATACCTACGTGAATGGAGAACACTTCCTTCAAATTCCAGTCTTCTAGGTTTTCAGGTTCCCGAGCTCAATTTATCCGAGGAAAAATTTGGCAGGCCCGTACGTGAGTACCACGCATACCCGAGGATTGGGTGTGAGCTCATTGAGAATTATATGGACAGGGAACATCCTCTTAAAATTCCAATCTTCTAGCTTCTCAGGTTCCCGAATTATCAACTCACCCGAAAAAAATTTTCACGAGCCCGTATGTGGGTACCACGCATACCCGACGGCTCGGTTTGAGCTCACTGAGACTTACGTGGACGGGGAACATCCTCTTAAAATTTTAGCTTTCTAGCTTTTCTGCTTCTCGAGTTAGCGACTTACCCACAAAAAACTTTCAGAGGCCCGTACATAGGTGCCACGCGGGTAAGAGCGCTCATTTTGGGGAGTGGGGCCCATAAGTTCATGTAGACTAAGTTCCCAAAGTTTCGGCCCTGTAGCTTTTGTAGGTCTTGAGATGAAAAACCGTGACAGACGCACACACGGAGAAGCAGACAAACAGACAACCCCTCGTCAGTATGCGTTTTCTGCATTGCATAGCTGCAAAAAACGCATAAAAATCAAAACCTCCGTACTCGCTTGCTGTGAGAGCTGGAAGAAGCACTCAGCAAGTAGCCCAAGTGGTAACAAATGCCAACAGCAACCACAAGCTAGCAAGTCTGCCAAAACATTTTTGTGAAGAAGGGCGATACTATTGACCCTCGAGAAGAAAATCTTTGATAAAGCGTACCTCCAAAAACAAACACACAAACATATACCCATATTTGTATATATGTATATATGACTCGACAACATGCGTTTTGTGCAACTGTTATAGCATAAAACGCATACATAGGCTGATCATGCAGTTCTTGACACTGTTCGCCTTCCTTTCCTCGATCTTTCTTTTTCCTCGCCTTTCCCCGCACCTTTCTGAGTTCCCCTTTCCCAACTACGAAACTGTCCGACCCACCACACTGCCAGTGAAATTCTACATTTCTCCTTGCAATATGCTAATTAGCTCGCCTTGAAAGAAAGTTCATACTGTTCGCCGCCCCAAATCTGTAATCCTGGGTCGTAATAACCCAGTTCTTCAAACCAGTTCTTTTCGATTGCAAACAAACCACCAGCATGCGTCGGCGACCTGAAAAATTCAGCTTGCTTTCCATGTACTGGGTGTCTGGTTTATTGGAATTCGGAATATTCAGAAATCTGGTTCAAAAATAATATGAATT